TTGACTTTAGAGGGAGGAGGGAGAGATAGAGAGAGAGAAAAACACATGGATGTGAGTGAGAAACATCTATCGGCTGCCTCCCATACGCTCCTGACCGGGGATTGAACTGGTCACCTAGGTATGTGCTCTGACTGGGAATTGAACCCACAACCTTTCTGGGGTACGGGATGATGCTCCAAACAACTTGTGATCCGAGAAATGCGTGGGTGGTCTCCTCTGCTGCTGGTGGGAGGCTCCTGGGGAGCTGCTGGAATAAGCATTCCCAGAGGCCCCCTGGGAAGGCGAGTGAATGTTATTTGTGTGGGATTATATCCGGGTTCCCTCAGCCCCACCTCCCTTCATCCCAGTCCTGCAAGCGGTGCAGCTGGGAGTCGGCAGAGGTGGCAGCAAAGCCAGAGTCCAGTTTCTGCTCCACGTGCAGCGGGGCCAGTCGGCATCAGGTGAGCTGCAGTCCATCGGCCCGGCGTAGGTCCACACGGCCGTGGGCACGTGGCAGGTGAGGGAGCCCAGGGCGTGCACCCCCTGCTACCAGAGTCCCGGGAGCACAGCGAGGGAGCTCCTTCGTCTAGGAGGTGGCGGATCTCAGTCCTCCCGCCCTTGCAGTGGCCACCCCTGCTCTGGCCAGTGACCTGTTCCCAGGTGTGACTGACCGACAGGTGCCTTCCCTGTGTCTCCCAGCCTTGCCTGGGCAGGCCTGCAATTGGCCTTCCCTTTGCTCCTTTACAGTTATTAATAACTGGGTACATTCCCATGGCATTGAATGAGCCACCGGCCAGGGCCGTAGAAGAATTTTTTAAAGAATAATGGTTTAATTTTTTGGTGGCTGTCTTCATTCGTATGACGTACTGTGATGTGGTCATGGTGTCTGGTTATCAGCTGAGATGAAGGAACCTGCTTCCTGTCCAGGGACGTGGCTGAGGGGCTCGGCCGGCAAGCACAAGGCCGCATGTGCTCGAGTCAGGCCGTCGGCAGTGCTGGCCCCGTGGCCTCTGCAGATGTTCCCTAGCGATGAGACCCAGCTTATCGGGGGCTGTAGGGCCCTTCAAGGTTGAGCGGGTGACCTTTCATTCATACGTGACCGTGGAGACGCATCGGCCTCCGTCTCCTCTCTCAGGCGCATCGCGCATCGATGGGACAGCTGGAATAGAAGGGCCACCGGGGAGTCCTCGCCCTCTCCTTCCTTCCTGACCCTTCGGCTCTTCGTTGTGGAACAGGAAGTGCGTGAAGCATGGAGCAGATCACTGTGGGCCAGTGCGCTCTCCTCTTCCCACTGACTGCTCGCTTTACAGAAGGCTCCTGAGCCGAGGGCTGTGTTATCACAGATGATGAAGGATGCAGATCCAGAAAGAGGCCCTGGAAGCGAGGAGAGAGCGAGGCCCGGGCAGGTCTGTCGGCCCAGCCCAGCCCAGAGGCTCTGGAGGTCGTGGCGTGCTTTGCCTGCTGCAGACGCTGTGGCCGACCTGCCAGGCGTCGGGTGTCTGTTGTGTCTGTGACTGGCGCTGCGGTTGCTGTGTGAGGACACTGACCCAGCAAGGAGGTGCAGGCGGGCGGCGGGCAGCAGGCCCTGCGCGCCCCATCCGTCCCGAGCCTGGGAGCCTGGGAGCCTGGGAGCCTGGGAGCCTGGGAGCCTGGGAGCCTGGGAGCCTGGGGCCGGGGCCAGACAGGCAGCATTTGGAAGCTTCATGGGTTCATGCAGTGGAGGCCAGAACGGTTTGGTTTGATTTTGTGTCAAAATGTTCTTTCCCTTTAGGAGAGGAATTGGGGGTCTGGAGGGCCCCGGTTTCCGGACACCACAGGGCCTCCTCGATGGGAGTGACGAGGAGCCAGAGGGTTACAGCCATGGTCTCCTCAATGGTCAGCGCCAGGGCAGGGGGGTCATTACCCAGCGCAGCTGGGCCCAGATAGCTGTGGGGACACTTGTCTGGTTTTGCTGCTCTTCTGGGCCTGGAGCTGAACTACAACTGAGGCCTAGATGTTACCTCTGGGGAGGAAAGGTCAGGGGTCCAAACCTCAGGACTAGCGACCTGCTGGGGTGGGAGGTCATGGAGGGAGGAGGGAGGTGGGAGGTCCCTACAATTGATTGCCTGTCGCCAGGCACCTTGACCTGCCTATCGTCCTGGCTCTGCTCACGCCCATCCACTGCGACCACAATCCCAATGGCTGCTTCCTGAGTTTCTTGTCCTTTCAGAGCCAGACGGGGTGGTGGGTGCTGGGTAGCTGAGTAGGGTCACCGGTCGTTAGGGACTGAATTATGACTCTCAAAGAATTCACTCGTTGAAGCCCTGTCCCCTGTGGTGGTCCTGGGAGCTGGGAACTGTGGGAGGCTTTAGGGTGAGAGGAGGTCATAGGCAGGGCGACTCCAGGCCCCTCTGCCCCGGCCAGGTGTGGGCAGTGAGGCAGCAGCCGTCTGCGAGCCGGGAAGGTCCTCCCCGGAACCAACCTGCCACCATGTCTGAGGCTCCAGGACTCAGCTGTGAGCAGCAGCTGCTGTCAGACCTCTGCCTGGTGTGCCCTCAAGCAGCCCACGCGGCTGAGAGCGGACCAGGTGCCCGCGGGCCTGTGGGCAGAGGTGCGGGCAGCCACGGACCGGCTCCAGGACGGACGGAAGCCTGTCGTTAGTGGTGACTGAAGGACATTGTTTGGCAGTGCCGTGCCTGAAACTTGGGAGAATACAAGAAAACAACCGTTGTTTTAAACTCATTTTTCCTTGACGTATTCCTAGCTTCCTGTCTACTCCTTCCCACACTGCCCGCTCAGACAGTCCTGATGCAGGTAGATGTCCTTTGCCCTCCCTGGCCCCCAACGCACATCCCAGTGAGTTCTGTGGCTTTTATATGCGTCGGGTGCTGTAAGGTCCACTCATGCACTCGTACTCTGGGAGGGAAGGTTCAGTGTTAGAATGAGGGCCTGGCTGTTAGTGGGCGTGGCCTGTGTTAGTGTCATATGACCTGTGTTAGTGGGGCGTGGCCTGTTAGTGGGGCGTGGCCTGTTAGTGGGGCGTGGCCTGTAGTTCATGCCCCTTGCCACTGCTTCCCTCATGCTGTGGTTTGCCAGGTGCCCATCGCTCCTTCATGGCTAGAGTGTCTCCTGCTTCCACTTTGGAAATCTGACTCTGCCATCAGCCTGTATCTGCCCTGGACACAGCTGGTGCCCAGGAGCCTCTCCTGTCCAGCACCAGCTTCTTCACACCCAGGACTTCACTGAGCCTCTGCTCCGTGCCAGCCTTCACTGTCTGTGGGCACAGCCCAGGTGCCCACTGCCCAGTGGCGAGGACGAGGATGCTCCCTGAGAGGGAATACAGACAACTGACACAGCTAACACGGCTGACACAGCTAACACAGCTGACATGCTCACACAGTCAGCAGCTTTCCAGGTGTGTCCTTTCAGGGTCATGGTCTCCTCAATGGTCAGCGCCAGGGCAGGGTGGTCATTACCCTGTGTAGCTGGGCCTGATGTCAGCCATGGGGACACTTTGTTGGTTCATTTCTAACATTGAACCAATACAGCCAACATGGCTGACACGCTCACACAGCCAACACGGCTGACACGTTCACACAGCCAACACAGCTAATACAGCTGACACAACTAACACGGCTGACACGCCAACACAGCTGACACAGCCAACACAACTAACACAGCCAACACACATAGCCAACACAACTAACACAGCCAACACACATAGCCAACACAGCTAACACGGCTGACACGCTCACACAGCCGACACAGCTGACACAGCCAACACTACTAACACAGCCAACACAGCTAACACAGCTGACACGCTCACACAGCTGACACAACTGACACAGCTAATACAGCTGACACACTCTCACAGCCAACACAGGTAACACAGCCGACACAGCTAACACAGCTGACACAACTAACACAGCCAACACAGCTAACACAGCTAAGATTTTTGGTAACAGCCTTGCTTAATGCCTCAAAAATAGCATGGTTTTGTTGTTGTTGCTGCCTTTGAAAGAAATTAACTTACTAACACACTTCAATGTTTTTCTTTTAACATGTATTATGAAGCCTCTTTTTTTGTTGTTAATCCTCACCTGAGGATATTTTTTTCCATTGCTTTTCTTTTAACATGTATTATGAAGCCTCTTTTTTTGTTGTTAATCCTCACCTGAGGATATTTTTTTCCATTGCTTTTTAGAAAGAAAATAGAAGGGGTGAGGGGGAGAGAAACATTGACTGGTTGCCTCCCACATGTGCCCCCACTCAGAGCAGGGAGTGAACCAGCACCCAGGTATGTGCCCTTGACTGGGAATGCTCTAACTCAGTGGTTCTCAACCTTCTGGCCCTTTTAATACAGTTCCTCATGTTGTGACCCAACCATAAAATTATTTTCGTTGCTACTTCATAACTGTAATGTTGCTACTGTTATGAATCGTAATGTAAATATCTGATATGCAGGATGGTCTTAGGCGACCCCTGTGAAAGGGTCGTTCGACCGCCAAAGGGGTCGTGACCCACAGGTTGAGAACCACTGTTCTAACTCCTGAGCCGCCGGCCAGGGCTGAAGCCTCTTCTTTATATATTTTGAGGGATATGCTGTAAGCCTGGAAGTCATGTGCAGCCAGGCCTGCTGCAAGTGGCAATGCCTCTCGGAGGCGCTCCCCTCAGCCGGGCCGAGGCCGCTCTTGAGGCCTCATTCTTACGGGTGGGCTATAACCCTGGAACAGCGCCATAATCTCGGATATTTTTGTCATTTGTGTGGAGGCCGTAGGAATGCCACATATGAGGGAGGCAGGACGTCCAGAGAGCATGCCCCAGGGTCACCCGGCTGGTGTGGCCTCGGGACAGGTGTCGAAGTCCCCGGGCGGGGAGACCGGGCTCCGGTGGGGGCGCGTCCTGGGCAGCTGGCAGCTGGTCCGGGATGTGAGAACCCCGGATGGAAAATTCCATAAACAGATTCGTGTCATCTGGGAAACGAATCCTCGTTCTGGGACTTGCTCTTGTCTCTCAATCCCGTGTCTTTCCTGCTGCACTAGGGGCGACGCTGGAGGAGGTGGAGCAGCACTGGGACTGGCTGGAGCAGAACCTGCTGCACACCCTGTCCGTCTTCGACAGCAAGGAGGACATCGCCAGCTTCGTCAAAGGGAAGGTGAAGGTGGGTGCCCCGTGCTGACACCCCCCCCCCAGCTTCCTTGTTGCTTCCTTGTGACAGTTTGAACACAAGCATTTTTAACTTATTCTGCGTTTTCTCCGCTGTGACTGAACTCCTGGCCTAACACATAAAGGCAATGAGTTCCTCTTGTCACCTGTTCAGTTTGGCAAAAATACACCTAAAATGTGAAAAAGGCCTCATCCTCAGGCCCAAGTTTTTGTTGTCCTTACAGAAGTGCAGGCCATTTTTTTTGTCTTAGGGAAAAAAAAGTAATATTTGTTTTTGCAGAACAACAATGTTATTTGACTTTTAAAATTAATTATTCTCAACTTTTTTGCAGTTGCAACATCTTGTGACTATTTTGTTGGGCGTCACACTTTCCTCCTTCTAAAAGTGGATACTTATTCTGAAAATACACACATTGAATGGATGCAAAGCCAATTAAGTTTTGAGATGGCAAGAGAGCCGGATGGGGCAGTACCTGGCTTTCGGAGAGTTTCTGTCGCTGTCTCCTGTGAAACACCCCTCACATCACTGCTCTCACAGTAACATGGCCGGTAGCCATTGTTTTAATAACCCGACCAGGCAGAGAAATGGTTTCTTATTCAAAATTTTACTCTTTTTAAAAAATATATATTTTTATTGATTTCATAGAGGAAGGGAGAGGGAGATAGAAACATCAGTGATGAGAAAGAACCATTGATCGGCTGCCTCCTGCACGCTCCCTACTGGGGATCGAGCCCACAAACCGGGCATGGGCCCTTGACCAGAATCAAACCCAGGACCCTTCAGTCCGCAGGTCGGCGTTCTATCCACTGAGCAAAACCAGCTAGGGCCAAAATGCCACTCTTATGAAACAGCTACACAGTAGCAATAGTAAGTTTTCCTCCTTTAGGGTAAAACATTCCAGACCATTGATTTTGCTGGGTTGTTTTTCTCTTCAAAAGTCTCCCTTTCCTATACACTAAGTGCTCAGCATTAGTGAAGGGTGTCAAGTGAAATTGTGATTTTAAAGGGGCAGTAGAGAAGTGTTCTTTTCCTTTGGGGGCTGGGGGTACTTGTGGGGTCAGGTAGGAAATATAGGTCTCTTGAATCTGGCCAGGAGGTGGCTGTGTTGGCTGGTGGCCTCTTGGCTTTGCCTCCGGCCTTCGGGTGAGCAGGTGAGGGGCTGTGGTGGGCGTGCCCGGCTGTGGCTGCACCTCAGCTTGGCCTGGTGGCCTGTACTTGGGTCCCTGGGCCAGGGTGCAATGAGGCTTAGCTACAGAAATGCCCGTTTCCCGATTATTTTTCACGCTTCCCCCTTTTCTTGGTCTAACGTGGGTTGCGGTGGTTTTTTGCTTGAGTGCTGGAGGGGGGTTCGCTTTGGACCTGTGGCTTTAGGAGAGTTTCTGAGGGAGGAGAAATGTCCTCTGCCCATCTAGGTTCTGAGGCTGTGGCCCCAGAAATTCAACTGACAAAAGTCAGAGTAACAAGAGAAAAGCAAATTTTATTAACGTGCGTCACGCCAGCACATGGGAGAAACTCAGGGGTGGCTAGAGCTTGGGGCTTGTTAGCATCTTAACAGAGGGCAGCGTGTTTGTAGAGAGGGGATGGGCAGAGGAGAAGGAGCCTGCGCTGAGGGCGAAAGGGTGTCTGAGGGTGTCTGAGGGTGTCTGCTGTCGGCAGGAAATCCCGATGGGAACCCGTGGGAGGTGAGGGCATCTCAGTGTGGACGCCTCCGCTCTGTCTCGCTGGGCAGTCTGAGTTGTTTCCGACTGCCCTGGCGGTATTTGGAGCCACAGAAACCCCAACCATTACGCTCCTTTTCTACTTTGGAGGACTATAGAATACCTATGGCATGTGCCAGGTATCACAGCTAGACAGTCATTAGCTTTATTTTTCCATTGATTATTTTTCTTAGAGAGTGGGAGAGAGAGGGAGAGAGAGAGAGAGAAACATTGATGAGAGAGAGACACATCGATGGGCTGCCTCCTGCTGCGGCCGGGGACCGAACCTATCAATGAAGTTTGTGCCCTTGACCAGGATTAAACCCAGGACCCTTTAGTCCGTGGGCTGACGCTCTATCCACGGAGCCAGACCAGCCAGGCGGGCCATTGTTGGCTGTACAGCAACATTGTGGAGCGTAATGAGGAAGACGATTTGTTCATTTTTTGTTTTTTTTAAAGGTAACTCCAGCTTGGGTGGTTCTTTGGTGTTGCTGCACGGAACTCACATGCCAACCACTGAGTCCTCACAGCCTGTCTGTGGGAGGGGCGGGTGTCTGGGGAGGGGCGGGTGTCTGTGGGAGGGGCGGGTGTCTGTGGGAGGGGCGGGTGTCTGGGGAG